TGGCACATGGAGGAAAACATTTTTCCGTTTCGGTTACATATTAATGACAAACATTGAAACGTGTTTTGCTGAATACCTTAGACATCAAAACACCAATGCAACTGACCACATTAAATGTCAAGGGCACTGCATGTGATCTTTTTGATGTATCCATGGGTATTAACTACGGGAAATTTACCTCCGGAAATATTGGTCATACTCACTGGTAAAAGGTTCATTTACCACGGTAAAGATTTCCGAGTAACTAATCGTTGGGGAGCGAATTTCCTGGAAACTAAAGTCCAAACATGTTTCTCCTGTAACAGGGGATCTTACAATCAGGACTCTACGGTATCTTTACTCAATGTTCATCTCTACAACACGACGAAATGTATATAGATTCACTGTAAAGCTACAATTTTTCTGATTTATCAATAGAGCATCAACTTTTATTTGACTGAAATCCCACACAAGTTCGCATTGCGGACCTATTTTTAAAGGGACTCAGAAGGTCTGAGAAATTTTAAGAATTTACTAATTAGTGGAGAGATTTTGCGTTTAAATCGATTTAATTTGTATTTGGGGAACACTTTTGGGGGTTGACTTAGTTTCAAATAGTTTTTACTTGAAGTATTCGCGCAATGTTCCTTAAACTTGGTCCAAGGTAGAACACCCTGGAAATCGATTCCTCGTGTCTTCTGGCTGCTGGGGACGGAGTGGGGAGGAGCGCGTCGAGCGCGTGCAACAACTGCTTGTGACCTCGAGTCACGCAATCTCGCCAAAGTTGTCCCGGGAGTCGGTGTACGAACGGTCGGATGATATGGCTGCATCTTGAACAACGAATTGGTTGAATCGGGGCTATTTTACTTGAAAACTTTATTTATATCGTATTACACCATTAACCGGTGGTGACTACACGGTGTGACTGTCAGAAAGTTTGAAAACACCTCAAACAATGCTTACAGGTAAGTTTNCCTTGACTTTTGTTTTTTGTCTTTTTTTGTTGTTGTTGCTTTTTTCGCTGGGTTTTAGTATACGTTGTGAAACAACGGTTACACGGGATTTTGCCAGGGTAACAAAAATGGCACATGGAGGAAAGCATTTTTCCGTTTCGGTTACATATTAATGACAAACAGAGAAACGTGTTTTGCTCGTAATACCTTAGACATCAAAACACCAATGCAACTTACCACATTAAATGTCAAGGGCACTGCATGTGATCTTTTTGATGTATCCACGGGTATTAACCACGGGAAATTTACCTCCGGAAATATTCGTCATACTCACCGGTAAAAGGTTCATTTACCGCGGTGAAGAGTTCCGTGTAACTAATCGTTAGGGAGCGAATTTCCTGGCAACTAAAGTCCAAACATGTTTTTCCTGTAACAGTTTTTTCATCTGCAGCCTGGGATCTTACAGTCAGGAGTCTACGGTATCTTTACTCAACGTTCATCACTACAACGCGACAAAATGTATAAATATTCACTGTAAAGCTACAATTTCTCTGATTTATCCATAGAGCATCAACTTTTATTTGACTGAAATCCCACACAAGTTCGCATTGCGGACCTATTTTTAAAGGGCCTCAGAGTCTGAGAAATTTTAGGAATTGACTAATTGGTGGAGAGATTTTGCGTTTAAATCGATTTAATTTGTATTTGGGGGACACTTTTGGGGGTGGACTTAGTTTCAAGTAGTTTTTACTTGAAGTGTTCGCGCAATATTCCTTAAACTTGGTCCAAGGCAGAACACCCTGGAAATCGATTCCTCGTCCCTTCTGGGTGCTGGGGACGGAGTGGGGAGGAGCGCGTCGAGGGCGGGCAACAACTGTTTGTGACCTCGAGTCACGCAATCTCGCCAAAGTTGTCCCGGGATTTGTGTACGAACGGTCGGATGATATGGCTACATTTTGAACAACGAATTGGTTGAATCGGGGCTATTTTACTTGAAAACTTTTTTTATATCGTATTACACCATTAACTGGTGGTGACTGCACGGTGTGACAGTCAGAAAGTTTGAAAACACCTCAAACAATGCTTACAGGTAAGTTTCAGCTTATTCGCATTTCACTGTTGCAATAAGTTTGGCTCATGGCTCGTATACGACGACCTCCGGCGGAAGTTTTTTACCTGATCATGGATTTCTATGAACAATTTCAAGGACTCATTTAATAAACGTTAAGTCTCTTGTAAAATGGTCTTCAGTTATATTAGAGTGAGAATCGATCGTGACTATGAATGAAAACAAAATGGCGGCATTAATTTCTTTGTAAATTATTCAGTTCATTTTTGAGCAATAAAACAGTAAAAACGTGCCTATTAATTTAAAGGTGCGAGATAAAAGTGAGGTCAGATTCAATAGTAATGAGGTCAATCGTTCTTTAAACTTATCAGCTAAAATGATTTAAAGACGAGAGAAAAACATGAGGTCAGATTCAATAGTAATGAGGTCAATCGATCTGTAAACTTATCAGCTAAAATGGACCATTGACACTTGATCTCTCTGGATTCGTTACCAAGCAACTTGGGTAAACTGAATTTACCGAACTCTTGACTATTCTGTCTATTTGTCAAGTTAATCTATGACTTTGAAGCACAAGCTTCGTTAGCATTAATTTGCAATATTTTTCATGATTCCTGTTTCTGTTGATTGTACAAAATTGTAGGATTGTACAAAAATTGTAGGTTTAAAAAAAACTCTGAATGCAGACACAAGACATGCATGATCAAAACAACACAGAAATTTTATGTTTCATGAATGATCACTATGTTGGCACAAAAAGATGCATGGCTGATCTGTCTCTGACAAAAGTCAAAAAAACAGTGGAAACAGGAAACGTATTATAACAACAAGCTCAAGTACATTAATGAGGTCTGAAAAATATCATGGATCCGTTGCCAGCACAGGGATCGAACAAAACTTGAATTCCAGCTTGCGCTTGGGACAAGTAGTTTTCAAATTTTGCTTGTCCTGGGCAAGTCTTAGTTTGCTCTTTTAATGAACAAAACTTGAATTCCAGCTTGCGCTTGGGAAAAGTAGTTGTCAAATTTTGCTTGTCCTGGGCAAGTCTTAGTTTGCTCTTTTAATGAACAAAACTTGAATTCCAGCTTGCCCTTGGGACAAGTAGTTCTCAAATTTTGCTTGTCCTGGGCAACTCTTAGTTTGGTCTTTTAATGCTTTAGATGGTAGATGACTTGCCTGATGCCCATCGGGCATATGAAAATGAAAAGCCACTTACCCAGTAGGACAGTCTACTTGTCCCGGATGACCAGACGACACTTATTTTGAGCCCTGCGGGATTGATCATGATAAAATTGAATATAGCGTTCTCTTGTAAAAATTATGAAAAAACATAAGCTTTTGACAAGCAGTCTACTGTCTTTGACGAATAAAAATTTGTGATAAAATGCAAAGTTAAAAATTTTTTTTCATCAAAGACAGTAGACTGGTGGTCAAAAGCTCATGCTTTTTAATATTTTTACCAGAGAATGCTATATTCAATTTTATAATGAGGTCTTACTTAACAGGAGGCAAGACAACAGCTTTTTGCTGTGAAATATAAAAGAAAGAATTTAGTGAAGTGAAGTGGACTAGGGAAAAACCCCTTAGGTTCATTTTTGAGTCTGTTATATGCTGTGAGATTATGGAAATAGCATTCCAGAGATTCTAGATTTTTTAATTATCCAGGGATTATAACTACTGTGTACCAAATGCTATGGTCCTCTGTTTCTGAATTTCTTGAAAGTAGTGCCTCATGTTTTTTGTCACGTATTTTCAAGAAAAAAATACAGATGGAATTTAGTAAGTCCTTTCTTACCCCTCCATACTTTTGCAACCTTATAGACCCGGTCTTTCGGAATGACCTTTCTTATCATTTAATCATCAGACCCT